GATTAAATGGTTTAAGCAGTCATCATATGAATTCTTGAGGTTTCATTTTGCATGGTCAAAAATAATAAAAAAACAATAATAGGAAAATTGTTGAGTTCTAATTTGTATCCATTTCAAATAGTTTTGAAGACTAACTTTCCATTTGACTTGTTTGCAATGGCTGTGGGAAAAACCCCTGATGAGGTCACCACATAGACAGGCTGCAGTGGCAAAAATATGGTAGAGACATTTATCTATATTGGTACATCACTATCTACTGTATATTTAAGAATGTGCTCAATAGAAAAGCAAAGGTTCATTTCTCATGCTGAGATATTGCCCTGCTCTCCCTCAAAGACTGTCTTTGCCATTTCTTACACAAAAAACTCTTGATGAAACAGCTGTTTTTTTATTTTTTATTTTTTACAGAAAAAAAACAGCAGATAGCTTCAGCACACTTCKTAAAAATAGCTTGTTATATTTTTCKGCTGAATGCAGTATATTTCAATGTATGTGAATCAAACAGAGGATTAAGTCACAAGTAGGATATAGGCAGCTATAGTGAATTGGTTGAAAAAAACTGCGAGGAATAAATTGTTTATCCTTGAGTTCCATAGAAGATATGTGCAAAAAATAATCCAAAAGAAGATTTTGAAGCACCTTTTCTGAGAAATACCAACAACTAACATTGATTCTGAGCAGAAAAGCCCTAAATTTTCACTTCACAGGCTACTGAAGCTATTTTCAAAAACAGCTTGGAAATCCAGAAATGCAGATATGGTTTAAGGTTTCCTTTTTTCAAAAGACCTCAAGAAATCCTACTTTATTCACAAAAAAAAAAAAAAAAAAAAAAAAATTCACTCCAATTTCCCCTATAGGGTATTCCCAATTTGGAAGACAGATCAAGCCACATTCTTCGAACTGCTCATAATCAGTCCGATCTAAGTATCAAAATGTATCTTTAAATCTGAAAATATGCTTAGTTTAGTTTGACCAAATTCAGTTCCTGATATGATGTGTTGGGTCACAATTATGATGCAGCAGCTTCTGTTATCTGTAGGTGTCAAAAAATGATAGTCCATGATAGTTCAATATGTCAATTGATGATTTAATCAGATATTAAACTGCATTATTAGTAAAGACATCAGTGTTGCCAGTATTAAATCCAGTTGTTCTAAAAAGCTCAGCTGCCTCCTCCCTATCAGCTGCCTGACTTTATCTCTGACTTGCTGATATCACATTAAACCTATTTAGGTTTGTTTAATTGTTGGCATCGTTTTAGACCTCAAGCGCAACATCTATTTAGTCTAATTTTGCTCCTGCTCCTAAGAACAATAGTATACAGGAGCAAGTGGTGCCTAAGACTAGCTTACATTAGTATAAATGTGATAAATGAATGCTCATAATGGATATTGTTGCATGTTTAGAATGATGATATAGTTTCTCAGTTTAGCTCAATTCCTATTTTTGCTAAATGGCATGCTGGTTTTGGCACTCATTTCCCTTCATTGAAAACCAAACCGTATGAAACTCTTATCAAACCATGACCCTAAAATCAAGATGCATGCTTCACAGTTCTTCACCAAGAATTTGAAAGAGGGTAAAGAAAATTCATTAATGAATATTTGGTTCTGTTTTTTCAATAAATGAGGTGTGACTTTTCAAAGTACTGCAGGTAAACCTTATACAATGATAACTTTTACATGAGATTGATCATTTGCCACAATTTGTGACTTTAATACTTGTGAGACTACAAAACAATAAGAACCACAATGTAATCAAGCTTCACAGTTTAAAAAGTGAAGGCAGTTATTGTGGCTGTGAGCATTTATGTGCTGCTTCAGTAATCATTCAGAAGACAGCTAACAGATGCAAGTTATATAAATGAACAGTGGACACGTGGCATTAAAATATCCTTGTTTATCAGCCATTTTTTAGATTTTTAGGCTTACAGATTACTGCACACAACACTGAAGCACAGAACAAAATCTGTGTTTAGAGAGGCAATGTGTTTATTTTCAGTTTGTGATGTTAGCTTAATGAATGTTTGCACTTGGTCTTGACAAAAAAAGAATGCCAGAGACCAGTTTGAAGAAAAACCTCAGTTTTCACGCAAAACATATAATTTAAAACAACATAAAAAAATTAAATTTTTGAGTTCACATTATTTTGTCAAGACGGTATGTTTTAGTTTCAAATTAAGAAACTCTTGCAACATTAGGTAGAATGTAAAATGTGTATATCATTTTAGTTTATTTTTATGTTATTTTTTTATTTATTTTTGTATTTGTTCAGATTAAACAGCAATTTTTCTCCCAAATATTTGCAACAACTGACGGAGGTAAGCTAATTTATTTGTTTGGAGAGTGTTCAGTTAGTGTTTTTACTGTTTTGTCTAGCACATGCTCTAGAATTGTTTAAAAACTGGTCCAAATCTGCCTCCCTTCATTACAAAAGTGTATTCCAGTTGATTAAAAATAAACATGGTGGCATCTGCCTAGGTGAGCACAAAGCCTAGAATACAATTTTGTAATCTGTTCATACAAAAACAAGTAATYGTTTTTAAAAATTGGTTGTGCAAAACATGCTTCATGTCTCGCTTGTTGCTTTGTTGAGGGACTGCAGCTGAAAATAGTTTTTAAGCAATTCTCTCTCCATTGTGAGTCCACAAATCCAACAGTTGCAACCCAGATGGATGGAGTWTTCAAAGATCTTCGAAATCTGTGATTGTGTTTTGCACCAAACTGTCGGTTTCAGATTTTATGTTGTGGAGTTGCAAGGTGGAGTCTCCACCTGTTCGTCTAGCACTTCTGCATGCTCAACTGCATTGTGATTCAGGATTTAAGAAAATAGATGCTGACTTGACACCTCAAATAACTTAGTATTGCAGCTTTTTCCYGCTGAAAGAAGTCACTGCAGTTAGGAACTACTGTTTCCATGAAGGTGGTGTACATGTCAAAACAACATCTACATGATTAGCAGAGCATGACATAAGGTTTTCAAAAAACACTGGTTATTTCATCTTTCCATGTATAATAATTCACCTAATYTAATATATGATTCATTATACTGGGAAACCTTCTTTAGTTCTTCTGTTATATTTTTCAAGCTCATGTGCCTGTTGATGGTCACCCTGGCCAGTCTGCATATACTCAAACCACCCAACAAACTCTAATGGACTGTGTTTTTGATATTCTGGAGAAACCTTTTCAGCACTTTTACAAGGATCAGAGTACAGTATCGGCCAGACTGCTTAAATAAGCAGTGAAGAGTTTTGTCAGCCCATGAACCTGTGACAAATTTACCATTTTTTCTTCTAAGAACACTTTTGTACAGGTCCTGACCACTGCTAATTGCAAACATACTGCAGACATCCACTTGTGGAGATGCAATGTGCAAGCTGTGCAACTGTCTGTCACAATTTGGCTCAAAGTTGCAGAAATTCTTAAGCTTCAGATCATTTTATCTGCTGCCAACACAACAACATTAAGGAGYCTTTTGAATTATTGCCTAATATATGTCCCAGTAAAGTTGGTATGCTTGTTTGTCTTTGTGTGTATGGTGTAATAATAATGATGTGATTGTGATGCTGTAATTCTGAGTGTTTTATGTGCTGCGGAACAGGAACCTGCTGTAAAACAGCAGTTATGCTGGGTCAGGCTTGATTTTTAATAATCTTTTCCTGTTAAATAAATAAATCAAAATCAAAATAAAAAAAAAATGTTTTTCTGTTTCTCTGCCAGTGGTCAAAATGTTGGGATGGATTGGCAATCTAAAATAACGAAATCATTAAAGCCTGTTGAATGTATTTCTAAGCATTTAGAATTTTTTTTGTTYTTGTTTTGAAAAATTGTTGTTCTGAAAGATTTAGGCGGATATATCCTTTTGAAAATGAAAACGAAATCGATTTTTTAAGGATGAAAAGGCTGCAGACTCACGGAGATGCAGCTGCAACACTGCTCATAAACCTGCCTCCCTTTTCCCAGTGAGAAGCTTCTGAATGACTGATCAAAGCTGTGAGATGAGTGGGGGATCAGATAAAAAAAAAATTCTGGAAGGACTAAACACAGGGAGAACCACCACATGACTTAAACTCTAATACCCTCGTCTTCTCTAATTGGCCCTGGCCATTCAGCAGCATAATGTGAACAAGATGGAAATAAAAACGCCTGAGTCAACCAGAGCATGGGCCCATCCTATCCACATATGGTWTCTGCATGTCTCAGTCGGTCATACTTCATACAGACTGGCTGCTCTCTGCATTAGACAAGCCCGACGAGCCTCCATAAGACCGTGTTGAATTTTAATTATGCACAAACACGCTCCATCGAACAGAACTGGGACAAGAGAAAAGCAATGAGGAGGTAGATTACAACTCTCCAACCTTCTCACTCCAACTCATACCATCTGCTCAGCTGCTGGCAGACGTGGAAAGAGGTAAGTGTAAAACATCAATACACATGTCCAAGTGAGAGTTCTGTGTTTCAGAGAGATTTTTAAAGGTGTGACAGACACTTAGATGCACCATCATTAGAGGATGTGTAGAGGAAGAAATATCTGTGCACTCACTGTGCCCCAGAAGTAGAATGTATGAAAAGAAAATCCCTTAAATGGTACAAAAAAAAGAAAGTTGACAAAACACAAAATGATGTAAGCAAATTTAGTTCCAGAGGTGACAGACTGCATTCTCATGATGCTATTATGAAGTGAGGGAAGTAACTGATCTTAATATGAGCACAAAGAAGCTTGACACCACACTTTGTAGGGGAAAATGCTTGGCAAGATTACAGTGGCAATGACTGAGAAAAGCAAGAGGAACCTCTGCGTCCAAAACAACAAGAAGCTAAAAGGCTGATGTCAAGAGAAACAACTGCACCTTTGTTTAAGTGTGATTTACTTTGACAGTATCAAAGCAGCTGCCGTGTCTGCTGAGCTCTATGTGTCGGAGTATGTTTTGCAAATCTCAGGTGGGGCTCTTTAAACAACCACCAGGGGTCACTGTGGATCTGTTACACACTCACCGGCGCCGTGCTGCCGGAGGATGGCTGCGGTAACTGGCAGCGGTGAGGCTGATGACTTGGCCACTGAGGTGGTGGATGACATGGAAGGGAGGAGATCGGGTTGGGCCTGCTGAGACACCCTGAGCTTCCCCTGCCCCGATCTGGCTCTTCCTGTGAGCCCCTGGCTGGGCTTTAAGGTGGCACTCCCCGCTAAACCCCCTCCCAGAGCGGAATTGGTATTCCTCAGAGGCCAGCGGTTCTGGATGTGTGACACGGCCTCCTCAGCCACCATGCCACCGCCCGCCGTGACGCGCAGCGTGGCGTGTACGGTAAAATCCTGAGTCTCTTCGGCCCACAGGTCAGTCACGCGGCACTCGTACACCCCCTCGTCCTCCTTTTTCACCTTGGACAGGCTGAGGCGGTGGGAGATGGCGTTGCCCTGCACTCGGACGGTCTGAAATCGAGGCAGAGCGAAAGACGGAAACTCCATAAAAAAACTGGCAAACATTTTAATAACAGCTGGTTTTAGTGTGCATTAATCATCAGCTTAATGAGGGTAGCTATCCTCGTGTTTTATGAGTAGGGGTGGAGGCACAGGCATCAAAAACAGCACCAAATCATGGCCATGTGTTAGCTGCTTAGCAGACCGACACATTAATTCTTATAAAGCCTCAATTATCCCTAATAAGGGGGCACTTTACCTTGACTGAAATGTGACTTTATCAACCCTAAGCTGCCACAGCATGTAAGCACTGACACATCTTAGAGGTTTGAAAACATTTAGAGATAAATCATGTGTAAAGAAAGTAGAAAGGCACTCGGCTGAATAATAAAAAAAAGTAAAACAAATCTGCTTAAAGGGAGGAATTGGGTGCAGTTCCAATGTTTCCTTACAGAACATCATTTAAAGATACATCCTTCAGGAAGTAGATATCTTTATGTATTATGGACAGATGGACACTTACACTTATTTTTGTGGCTTCTCTGAAACCATCCTGAAAAGACAAAAGCAGAAGAAATCAAACATTTTTTTAAAATTTTGTTCAAAGAAAGCATCAGCAATTTTATTTTTTTAACTGAATGATGCATGTTTTGTGTGAAAGGTCTTCTTCCTGTTTGTGAGATTAAAACGGCGTGAGAAGAGCTAGTTCTGTACATGTGTCAAAGACGCCATTGATAACCTCCCCATGCC